AAGAAAAGAAGTATTAATACTAGATAACTAAATGAAATATACTTATAAAAAGATTATAATATATCGTTAGAGGTAAATCTGTAAAATTGTAACCTTTTTTTTTTGTGATATAGTATTCCTAAAGTCTAAAGAAAATAGTGACTATAATAAAAAAATACCGATTAAGGTCTTGCAACCTAACTATAAGGAAATTATCTAAAATCGTAAAAATATCTGCAAGATTTCCTAAAAATAAATTATCTTATTAGTATTGTCACATATTATAATAATTATTTACTAAAGTAAAATAATAAAACAGTAGTCTAAATGATAGTTAGAACTAAAATAAAACATACATAAGATACCTAAGACCAAGATAATCGAGAGAAACAAATGAGTAATCAAATCAGGAATAAGAGAATAAGGTTTTAGAATAGTAAAATAGTAAAAAATATCTGTTTTATAGAAAAATAGAAGAAAGTATAGTAGTGAGAAAAAAAAAGAAAAAAATATAAATAAAACTTATCTAAAGATACTATATGAGAACAATCAGATTCTTATGAATTAGGAGAAATAAATCTAAAAAAAAAAACAATAAAATTAGTAATGAATTGAATATATAAAGCAGTAAAAATTCTTAATAAAAACGAAGAAATAGATAAGTTTGTATTAAAGAAAAGAAAAAACTAGTCAACAAGAAAAAAAAAACAAGCTACAAACGATAAACAACAATAGCAATAATAGCAGAAATATGTGAAGTAAGATCTATAAAAAATAAAATAGCTGAGTTAGTTTTAAAAATATAATGAAATCTTTAAAGCAATAATAAAACAATAATCTTTTGGTGTTTGAAATTACAGAAAGGTTAAAAGCATTAAATATTCAGAAAGAAAATTTATTAGTAAAGAAAAAAAGTTCTTTGAAATAATTCCTTCAAATCTTATAGTAAAAACCTCAAAGTTTTTTAGGTTTTGTATAATTACTCGAAGTTTTTTAGGTTTTGTATAATTACATAAGTTTTTTTTTAGATCAAGTTTTAGACTTACCAATTTACTCTTCTTTGCTAGACCTAAAAACTTCTAACTTGAATAAATAAATTGTTGAGTTCTCAGAATATTATGTGTTTGCTTTAGTAGTTTTAAAATCTTTATATAATAACCAAGAGATGAACAGAGAAAAGGTATAGAAATTCATCTAACAGCTAAGTGCAAGATCTGTAATATATAAAGATCGAATCATGAAATTTTAAAATCTATCACATGATAAAAAAAACTACTAAATTTTTTAATTTTGATCGAAGATATCTTGACAATTAATGTACCAAATTTTTTTATTTAAATTCTGTAGATCTGCAAAAAAATTTTCATCGTATTTAGTAAAGTAGTTATCGATCAAAGTTAGGTAAACAATTTTGGCACAATTACTATATAATTCATATAGTAACTATGCCAAAATTGTTTATCTAACTTTGATCGAAGATATCTCAACAACTACTTCACCAAATTCGATGAAATTTTTTTTATTTGAATTTTGCAGATCTACAGAATTTAAATAAAAAAATTTTTATCGAATTTGGTGCATAGATCGTCAAGATATCTTTGATCAAAGTTTTGGAATTTTTTAAAATATCTATTATATAGTAAAAAAAACAAAATTGTTTAAGATCATACATAGTTGATTTGCTGGTTCTTATAACATAAAGTTTTTATGTAAAAATTTTTTACATAATGAATAATTAAAATAATTTTTTTTTTGTATATTGATAAAAAAAAATACAATAAAAATTATTCAAAATAAAAAAATTATCAAAGTATCTTCGATTAAATTGGAAAAAAAGTAATAAAATAAAGGTGATCTTGTGAATATGCAAATTGAACAATATATTTATTATTAAATAGCTTTAAAAAAATAATTATTTTTAAAATATGAAGTGTTTGTTAAATCATGGTTATCTATACACCCCTCTAATAAACAGTTGTGAACGAAATGAACTTTTTTTGTATTATCAACTACTGATAATGGAAAGACACGTCGCCACTTTTTATTATTAGTTGATTGAATTTTATAAATAGGACATTCTAGCAGATTATTTATTTGACCAGTATTTTCAAACCAATCAATCATAATAAATGCATAGAAATGCCCATCATTGCTCTTATGCCGAAAAATTGCTTTAATCATAGCAAAGCTTTCTTCCTCCTCTTCTTCCTCAATAGTAACAATATCTCCAAGGCTTAGTGAACATTTTTCAATTATTCCATATTCATTTTCAATCAAATATGTTATATTTTGATAGAAACTTATTGACTTATTAATAAGAGCAGCATTTTGTCCAAAATCTTGATAAGAAAGCATTAGTTCTGACTTAAATTCAGAACTGTTTATTTGAGATAGTACCATTTCTTTTTGGTTTACTAATGAAATTTTCTTTCGTAACTTAATTTTGGACATATATTCAGTTTGTGAAAATACTAAAAAATTATATTATTTTTATTATTAATTATTATAATAGTTTTATCACAAAATTCTAAAAGACATATTCTCAAAAGGATCTAATACTAACACGGTTAGTTAGCATTAATTATAATGTTAGCTAATTTAGTTAGTATTATATTCTTTCAAGAAAATATCTTTAGGATTTTGTAGTAAAACCAAAATTAAAATGTCTTACTACTACTTTTTGTTAAAAAATATTCTATATAACAATTTATAAAAATAAAAATAAATACCTTCATCATCATTAAGCTCATTTTCTTGAAAAACTGGTAAGTTATTAGCAATAAACTAATCAGTAAATAATTTTTCAAAGTTTTGAGAGATTTCAATAAAGCCTTGACTTGAACTTGAAGACCTCGAATCAATTCCACCATCTATTAGATGCCTTATAGCAAATAAGGTCGTATAACATTTTAACAAGTCTAATTCAATATTCTTGCAATTTGTTCGTGGTACTATACTTTTAAAAATTCGATGAACCATTTCTTTTATACCAACTGCTATATTGATAAGGTTTCCATATGTTTGTGCGTGTAATGCTAAATGAGCATTAATATTAAGATTAGGAAGATTCACAAATTCTTCAAAAACCTATTAATAATTCTTATTTAATAAGTTTATACAAATATATTATATATACAGAAATCTGATTATCATATACAGTAACTAAATACCTAATACATAGTAACTATATCAATATAGTAATAATACTTACTATATGCAGTTATAGTATATATATTAATAATACTACATATATATCATAACTATATATATATATATATAGCTACAATATATATTAAGGTATTTAATTTTTGTAGACGTAGCAATTACTGTACCTGAGTTAATATTCGAACTTCAGTTTCTAATATTTGCTGAAGATTCATATAATCATCTTCTGAATATGAATGCTTGAATACAAATTGCATTGATTTTGAAACTAAGACCCAACATTTTATTAATGATTTTGGAACTAAATCAATACGATTAGCATTAATTCTTTGCTGAATTTTTACTAATTCATTATACTTCAAATGGCAAGTTTTCAAAAATCGATTAAGAATAAATGGCATAATCATTGCTAATCGAAGATAATCAGACATCATAAAACTTTTATTATGGCTAATTGGGTTAGGTAGCTTTCTCCAATTTGTTGGATATTCAAAAGTTTTCCAAGATTTAATAAATGCTATTTGACCTTCTGGTGAAAACAAATCAACTGTTAAATTCAAAAGTCTCATTATTTTGCTAGCAGTTGCATGATAAATATCTTGTGGTGTCTGAAGATGCTGATCCTATATTAGTTGACTTAGTACTGGAACTTTGTTGCATAGTCCATAATTAGTAGAGATTATTTCACGTTCTTTTGCTGTGCTAGCAGATAAAATTTTATTAAATTGTTCATTTGTAATATGGCAATACCTTGATAGTTGCGCAATATCTAAATTATTATTTGTTAATTGTTCTTTAGAAGTTTGGCAAGTTCTACAACCTTTGTTAGCATTATGTCGCTTTATACCTGCAAGATCATTTCCTTGTGGAAGATCAGCTGTAACAACTCCAAGACCAGCAACAACCCAATAATCTTGACCTTGAATGTTCATAACTTGACCATGCTCTAATAATTTCATTTCAGTAATAAATGGTTTAATAAAATCATCGAAAGCTCCACCAAAAGGTACAAACCCTAATATAAAATGATTCTTTAATAGTTTTCTCATAAACATCGGCATATTTCCGAATTGTAAATAAATTCCACCAAGTGAATGATATACATTTCGATATGTTCCAAAATCATCATAGTAAAGATCTATGAATAACTTAATAACTGGTATATCTTTGTTAGGTGGTGAAAAGATCTTTGTATATTCAGAAGGATGCTGATGTTCTAATAAAATACTTCTAATCTTCCAATGTTTATTTACTTTATAGATTATTTCACTTATATTATGAGTAAACCTAGAATCTTTATGTGATGAAGTAGTAATACTAGCATGTCTAATAACATCTTGCAATTCAATTAATATAATACTATTAAGTTCAAGTGAATTATCAATTAACCATACTTCACCAAGTTGGGAACGATGTTGTCTATCATCATTATAAAATTTTTTTGGAAGTTCATGATATTCAATTATCTTTTGAACTTTTAATTTTAAAGTATTATCTGACATAATAATAGCTCGAATTCTTCCCAATTTTTCAATATTATCTTGATAATAAATAAAGTCACCAGTATAATATATGTCTAAATTTTAAAAATAAAATAATTAGTTTGCTAAAAACAAAAATAGAGTTTCTATACAAAAATCAAATATTTTTAGTAAATATATAGTAACTATATCTTAACAATATTGTTATAATATGGGATTTTTGCTATAAAAATTACCCTTCAGGATTTTCCGAATTAGCCAATTTGGAAAGACTTAGACCAGGATATCAGTTTTTATTTATATAGAAATCATCTTTTACTTTACTGATTTAATAGTTTATTAAATAAACTATTGTATCGATAAAGATAAAAGATGATTTATATAAATAAGAACTGGTATTCTAGTCTAAGTCTTTCTGAATTGATCCATTCAGAAAATCCTAAAGGATAATTTTTATAGCAAGGATTCTATATAGTAATTATATAGTTATTACAAATATTATATAGTTATTAATTAATAAAAAGATTACGTTTGTTAATTTTAATTGAATCTTGGCCATATAGTGATGATTCAGCCCACAAACTACCATGCCAATATTCTGTCTTGTTGGTAACCTCACAGCCAGGTCCAAAATACATATACTTCATTAAAGAAGGATTATTTAGCACATGCCAAATAATATCTTTAATAGATAAGTAATAAGTATCTTTAATATTTTTAGAATTTGAAGAAGTTTTCTTAGCTGAAATATTAACAGTCCTTGAATATATTGGCATAAGAGGAAGATTATGTCTCCAATCTTTAAAGCGTCGGATATTCTTTACCACATGATGAATATTAAAGTGAGGATGATGTATTATATTAATAAGATCATCATAAGCATTGGTAGCTATATTAATATTCTATTAGTAATTTGAATTCAAAATTTGAATTAATAATCAAGTTAAATCTTACAAATGCTATGCTTATGTATCCAACAAAATAATAATGCTGCAGTCAAATTTTCAAAATATGGTGAAAATTCATTTGTATTTTGTGGTAATTTTTCGAAATTCAAGGCCTTGTCAACAATTTTTTTAAAAAATTCATTATTGAATAATTCATCTAATTCATCCGATTCATCTGATTCACTTAATTCATTCAATTCATCCAATTCATCTGATTCATTTAATTCATCTGATTCATCCAATTCATCTAATTCATCTGAATTTTCTCGTGAAAGACTATTTGCTAAATTATTTGAAGACTCTGAAGATATTGTTGTAAAATGTTCTAAATATGAGTCATCGCTAATAAATTCTTCAGAAAAATTAATATCATTATTCTCTTGACTATAATTTGATTCTTCTAAAAAATCCATATTAACATCTTCTAGATTATTTGACTTTTCATAAGAATCTTCAGAAGTATCTATATTAACATATTTAGAATTATTAAATTCTTTAGAAGAATTTATATCAACATCTTTCAAATCTTTACTAAAACTTTCCTGATGCTGCAAAGAAGAAACATGAGAAAATTTTTGTCTACTATAAGAAGTTAACTTCTTGTAATTTTTTTGACTAAATTTATTTCTTAACATATTGATAATAGAAGAAAAAGTCTTAAAGATTATATTTAATGAAGTAAAAACAATCACTATTATTTAATATAAAGTATAAGAAATATTTATTTTATTGATAAAAATTTAACAGCAATATATATATAATATAAAGTATTTTTTATAAGTAGATTTTTAATATTTAATTTTAATAAAGATATTATTTTGTAATCATTATAATAATTAATCGTTACGATAACTAATTACAAATTAATCATTATAATAATTAATTATTACAATAATAATTAATCTTACGATAATTAATCACAAATTAATCATTATCATTATGATAATTAATCATTATTGTAATAATTAATCATACGATAATTAATCATTATTGTAATAATTAATCATACGATAATTAATCACAAAATTAATCATTATAATAATTAATTATTACGATAATAAATCTTAACATTAATTAATCACAAATTAATCATTATCGTATTATGATAATTAATTATTACGTACGATAATAATTAATCTTATGATAATTAATCACAAATTAATCATTAAAATAATTAATTATTACGATAATAATCTTACAATAATTAATCATAAATTAATCATTATCGTTACGATAATAATTAATCTTATGATAATTAATCACAAATTAATCATTAAAATAATTAATTATTACGATAATAATCTTACAATAATTAATCATAAATTAATCATTATCGTTACGATAATAATTAATCTTATGATAATTAATCACAAATTAATCATTATGTTTATTAATGTCGTAACTGAAGCTGAAAAAAAAGCTGATACTAGAAATTTTAAATACTTTAATATAAAATTTACAAAAATTTTTGGATGCATTTTCTATGATATTTTTTTATAGTTAGATTAGAATTTAGAGTTAGAGTTTATATCAAAAGAGTATAGTTAGATTTTAGAGTTTTAAATCGAGACCTCTGATTTCTAGCTTTAGCTACGATAATTAATTAATTATTATCACAAAGAAATCATAACTGAGAACAAGAGTTACTATATAGTCTATATTATTTAATATTAATGCAAATTTTAAATATCGTGTAAACAAAAAGTTAAATTTTATAATA